ATATAAAAGGAGAGGAATTTTGGAACAGATACAGAAACTGCTTTAAAATAACGGATTCCCTTGATGATTTCGAGTTTCATCGATTAAGTCTCAATACCACTTACGGTTATCCAATCACTCCGTCATTATGGCCTATGGTTGAGACCAGACAGTCCATTTTTAAAAGACGTTTATTTCGAACACCGCCTGAATTGTTATTACAAACTGATACAATTTCTACTCTACCAGTTCAGAAAGACTCAATACTGAGGGAGCGATTTAATGAGTTTGTGGATAATGTACATGCCGGTGGCCTCATGCAATATTGGTTTAAGAGAACATACTTTTATATGCTTAAATTAGGCATTATGCCGACAGAGGATATCACCAGAGTACGTTCTTATCAGTCTTTACAGCTTAAGGACTTTTATTGGATTTGGTTAATATATCTGTTGATGAATTTATTGAATTTATTTGTTTTCATTATTGAAAAATTTTGGAATATAAAACAATAAAACTTAACAACATCGACAACAATAACTTAATCAGACTAGACAAATGGCTTTAAGTAAATCTAATTTCTAAACTAATGCCATGTGTAATGACTTATGTACTGCTATGTGAGAAAACTATTACTAGTTACATACCATACTAGCTTTTTCTTACAAATACAAACTACAATAAAATTGGAATAGCAACAATTACAAGTGCAAAAGCTGTAAAATGAATTTATTTCACATTTAATCGAACTTAATATTTATATACATTCATACTTGACCATATAGTACAACAAAAAACAATAAAAACAACAACAACAGCTGTAATAAAAAAAAATAAAAAAGTTACATCCGCACGAAGGACATACTAAAAGATCTTAGAATAGATCCGATCAAAAAATGTATAAGGGACAGAGCACTGAAGCTATATGCTAAAACCGACAGGCTGCCCTACTTAGCATTATCTAATCTCAGAGTAATCACTAACCGCACTGGGCGGTACGTAGTCATTGAATAATCACGAAGCTTATGAGGCATACACAAATTAGTCAGTGAGATAGGTGAAACTCTGCAAAAACCCCTCAGCTATCAAAGAGTAAAAGTGCCCAGATGCACTAACTCGGAAAAGGCTCAACATAATAAGAAGAAAGAATAAACGGAGAAGTACTCTTAAGATTAATGCAGATAAGAATAAATATTTTGTTTAGAAAAGATAATATTCATCTTTCTAAAAATACAAACATTTCTGCAAAAAGATAAAACACTATTTATTATAAATAACTAAATAATTAATTTTTCTTAATATATATGTTTATAGAGTATTTTTTTAATGGTTTAAATAAAAAACAAACAATTTTTAACACCAACTTCAATGCTAATGCTTTTATTACAATTATATGTCAGGATGAGTCTATTTCTAATCAAAAGGCGTTATTCGCATTTCTTCTTCACATTCACAGTTCTACAGTTCTACACAGTCGGGATTGTTTTTGAGCAAGACGTTGTTATTTGATTAATTGTTGCTATACATGTACTCCTTTAATTGTCCAGAGCCCTTCTGCGGGGTAAAAAATTGCTACACAAATAACTTATTGTGTGAACGGGAGAAATAAAATCTACTTGAACACTGGAGAGCCCAAACAGGCACGCAATAGTTAAGAAGATTCACTGATCCTGACCACATCAAAGTTGACGTTATTTTTAACCTTAGCAGTAACAATATTAAAATCTACACTGAACTTCTTACAGAACACTATAGACTTAATTACCACATGAGGATTATAGTTGCGGTAAAAAGTGATTACTGCCGACTCTGTCATTAAGAGAAGGAATTATCAGTTCATATCCTATGCAACTGCTCAACAGCGGCAAGACGTAAACTCGACTACCTCGAAAGCGTTCCAAAGTACCTTAAATAATTTATATTATTAGTTTAGCCTATTTTAATGTAAATAAATCATTAAATTTGATTAATGAGACTTAACATAATAAGATACTATATATATATATTTATTAAGGATCAATATAGAAAACGGGCTTGAAGTTTTAATGTGAACTAATGAGAGTTTTATAACTGATCTGTTATATTTGGTATAACTTCTTTTATAAAAAAAATTTGAGAGGTCGAAATCGATTGGGTGCTAAATTTGTTTTGTAGACTGAACAAACAGAACTAATTTTTATTTAAAATTGCTTTTCGAATATGTATATCACAACATTCTTTAATTTAATATTCTTAAAAATTAGCTAGTGCAATAGGAATACATCTGATTTTGTCGTCTTTGAGTCCAAAGATAGAAGCTTTTGGTAATTGCCCTTTACGACGAAATTTATTTTCCTACGTAGAAGCCTACAGAAGGTTTGTGGCGATATACTGAGGTACTGCCATTTCAGTGGTAAAGAATTGAGTCGCGTTCGTTCCAAACTCTTGAAATTTTGACTGTACATCGGTGAAGAATCTATTTTACCGACCCATTTACCTTAACCAAAATAAATAAATGTATCTTTCATGTGAATAAACTTACTTTATTATGAATTATTTATGATAAATTTAATGTAGTTTGTTCAAACTCTTCAAGAATTTTTAAATTTTAGTTTAGAAATTATTTATATTTTTTATGTAAATAATTGTTGTAGTATAAGATTAATCTAATGCATGTATATACCTGATACTTTTAGGTTTAACATTTTAATTTTTTAACTATGTATGATTTACTTTTTTGTTAAATGAAATATTAATGAGAGCATGTTTAACAAACCGTTGTGAGTTTTATTAGACACGAATAGGAAAGTTAGAATTAATTTTCCTTAAATGCGATTCAGATGAAATCAGTATAAAAATTACAATTAAGCTTGAAAGTTTAATAGAGCTGCGCCTACACATCATGTATTTTAAAATATTTATTTTGTCGTTACGAGTCCTCCTATGGACAATTCTAATTGTGATTGTATTGCAAAGATTACCACTTCAAGCCACTGCTGATATACTTTACGAACACGAAATTGGTGAAAAAAGTTTCTTTAGAAATATGAAACATCTTTTCGCTAGTCTTGTTGAGTCAGTCGATAAATATTATGGATTTGAAAATATCGTCATCTTTCGGTACAACGGAAATTGTATGTTAATTGAAGAAACACTGAGATTATTAAAGAAGCCTGTAATATTATTTAGCCTACAAAATTCTCCAGATTACAATCTTCTATTCTCGAAAAAATCTTTGGTATTGACTTGCACGAATCAAATCCAAATAAACAATTTTACTATACTCAATGGTCTCCAGCTTTGTAAGCATTTAGTCTACATAGCTGAAAGCGATGCTTCGAATGTAAATAATTATTGCAGGCAATATTCAATTCAGGATGTTTATGACGTGATTTTAGTATACGAAAATTTTAGTGTTACCCGAGAGTATTACAACTGCAAAATGTACTCGTTAGATGATACCAAACCGAAACCTAAAATATTTACCGATGCAAGCGTCATCTATGAGCATCAATTTGAAAATATGAATGGTGCAGCTATAATGACACAAACAGATATGTTGATTCCACGTACTATAGCCTATTATGATCACAATAATCAATTAGTACTTGGTGGTTATGTAGCCAAAGCAGTATTAACTTTCGTAGAGAAATATAATGCAACTTTAAAATTCAAAACACCTGTAGATCCAACAACAGTCACATTCTATCAAAATATAACACTTGATGTTGATAAAAATCTATTGGATATAGCTATAACAATGGTTGGAATTACATTTCCAAATGCTTTACCGCTTTATACAGCTTCTTATAACGTAGAAGACTACTGCTTAATGATACCATTGCCAAGCTATAGACGAACGTGTGATATTTTTACGGATATTATTCCGTGGGGTCTCAGAGCTATTATACCAATTTTAGTATTAATATTTGCTTTACTGTTTCTGTGCAGTATGCATCAAAGTCGAAACAAGATTTCTTACTTGGATATATTTTTGAATGATAAAAGTATTAGAGGTGTACTTGGACAATCATTTACGCTGCCCAGTAAATTGAATTTAAAAACCAAATTAATTTGTGCACTTCTTTGCTATTACAGTTTAATTGTTAATACAGGCTATCAAGCAAATTTACAATCGCTTCTTACACATCCACCAAAAGACACCACAATGAAAACCTTCAAGGACTTGGAAGATGCAGACTTTAAGATTTCTTTATCACGTTTGGAGTTCAATATGTTTACATTAAACAGAACAATCAAAAAATTATTAAGATTTGAGGAAACTTACCGAGACTTTGTGAAATTGCGTGAATCACTGAATACGAGTTATGCTTACCCAGTATCTCGTACACGTTGGCAGTTGTTTCATGAAAGACAAATGACTTACGAAAACAACGTTTTTTACTATGCCGATAATATGTGTTTCCTCAAATTCATTGATCTTAGTATACCGGCTCGTAAATATTTACCCTATCGTAATGTGTTTGCTGAGCATATACAGCGCTTACACGCAAGCGGTTTAATAAATTATTGGACATCCTTTAATTTTTACGATATGGTTAGGCAAAATCTTACAAGTTTAGAGGATATAAGTGAACCAGTAAAATGGGCTCAACCATTAGGTTGGTATGATTTGATAAAGGTATGGATTTTGTATGTTTTTGGTGTTGTCATCTCTTTGTTTGGATATACCTTAGAAAAAATAACTTGGATATACATGCAGAAGCGTAAATTTAATCGGAAATTATACACTAAAGCGTATAGTAATAAAAAGAACTCATTTATGTATTTACCATAGTTATATCTTACATAATAAAATAAATGCAAATACATATTTTTACATATTATTATTCTTTATGCATTTATAAGAGTAGAAATTGGTGGATGAAGATTTGATTTTCACAAGTTTTATTTAAATTCTTTTTATTATTATTATTTTGGTATATTAAAAGATTGGTTCCGTGAGTGCTGGCTGTAGCGAACTAGTGACTTATCCAAAGAATTAAAAAATTTATTAATAACACACGTACTTTAAACTATTTTTTTCGTATATAAGAAGTTTGAAAAATTATTTCAATAAAGCAGAAAATACATATTATAAGGACCCTGGTCATCTAGAAATGTTCCTATCATCTTAATTTATCATTAAACGTTTTTAAAATCCGCTTCACAGCAGCAGATAGTGATCAATTTGAATCCAAATCTTTGCAGGAGTACAGAATAACAAAAGTCCAACTAATTGATGTAAAGTGCATCATCAGACCTTGTGTTATGATCATGACAACAATAGAAAGGCAGCAGAAAGAAAAATCTTATAGAATGACAGAATATTAAAATCAAGTGTCAGTAACCGCAATTCATGTATGAGATTGGAGAATGAACGGACAAAGTGGAAATGTGTGAAGAATATTTTCACCCGACTATGTAATTCGGATAAGTAACCACAAATTATTATTTGTTAATCTTTTTTATTACTATTATTTTCTATGATACTAGTATTTTGTCATAAACAAATGTCAACATTTCACACATCTTTCACAATTTTTCTATTTTCAAATACACTCCTCTTTCAGCATCACGAAAGTGTTTATTCAATTTATATTTCATAGGTATTTGTGTTTCTTTGGTGGGAGAAAATCGATAGTTTTTAAGCATCATACGTGGTAGGCACCTTGACGTGGTGTAGGGGCTTAGCTACAGGCAAGCTTGCTGACTTTGGGTCTCCTGCTCATTGTCTATGCAATGGTCAGAAGACCTTTTTGTCGGTCTGGCTTGTGGGTACAACAAAGAACTACCAGTAGTTGTGTTGTCCTGTAGTTTATGTGCATGTATGTGTGTCTTTGTCTCTATGTATGCATGTATGTTCTTTGTGTTTTTGGAATGAATGGAAGTGTGTAGGTCCACTAGGTGTCTGGGGACCAGGGTTTATGACGAACCAAGACCGTCCATACGTGGTGCAGAGCCACATATTATGGCGGATCTAGAGAGGAAAACTCGATAAAACCCGCAATCCTGGGTGTATGAACGACCGTGCCCAAGGATGAATGGCACTGCGTAAGTGTGTCTTAGAACGGTGGACTCCGGATACCTGGCGACCTCCGGTTTCAATTCAGCCTTTCTGAAGTAAAGGGGGCTATGCTTCGGACGACCTCCCTTTCCCCTACACTCGTGGGAACACTTATGGATTCTTTAAACAAATTAAATAAACAAAAAACTAACAAGGAACTAGGTACCAGTTCCGAAGACGAGCTCCTGGCATCAAGCCAAGAAAACGAGCGAGTCGAAACCGCCATACTACCCAAAGTAGGCAGTAGCAGCCGCACTGCGCCTACTTCGCACATAACAGTAAAATCGGCAGACAAGCGCGCCAGCCATAGTGCGCCTGCCGAGAAATCAAAAAAGTCTGAGGCAAAGATCAGACGTCAAAGGTACCAGAAGGCCATGTTCATTCTTGGCTAGATTGCTAAAAATGAAGCTGAAGGTAAAGAACAGGCGTTTGACCGTACAGACAAAGTACGATATCAGAAGGTGGTAGATGAGTATAACGAATACCAGGCCACCCTATCAAAACCCGCAAAGGCAATGAAGAGGGATCGGTCTCAGGACGAGACGGCCCATACTTCAAAAAGCAAGGTAGCGAGAACGAGTTATACTAGTAAACCGTCAACGAGTGCGAAAAGGGCATATAGCGAAGTAGCAAGGGATGAGCTACAGGTGGCGCTCATTGATGATATTACCGGGAATGGAAAAAAGGTGCTGGAGAAATGGGGCGAGATTGAGCCCAAGCTGGCTGAAATGGTGATGGAACACCTTCTAACAAATCTAGACGCCCCCACACCAGGCTTTGATTCATCAGAAGTGGTTCGTGGTTGCAGGGTCTTCAAATGTGATGACCAGCTATCTAAAGTATTTCTTGGCAACTGCATTGCTAAGGTAAGTGATGCATGGGAAGGTTTAAGGCTAAAGCTTATCCCAGCCAACGATATCCCTAGAAGACCAAGGGCCCGCATTTGGCTGCCAATTATGAAGATGGAGCATGAGAAAGTTCTCCAGCTGCTACAACGGCAGAACCAAAATGTGCCAATGAATGACTGGGTAGTCATCAAGGACGAGGGCACACAAAAAACCAATATGACGCTTCTTCTGGCGATAAACGAGGAATCCGTGAAGCCATTGGAAGAAATGGACTGTAAGCTGAGGTTTGGCGTACGGTACACCAAAATAAAAATATTCCGCCCAACAGGAAATGATGATGATGGCAAGGAGTTAGAGGATGCTAACAAAATGCTTGACGGTATGAAGCTTCAGGAAGAAGCTTCAGAAACCTCGTAAGCCTGCACGAATGCTGAAAGTAGCACAAATTAACCTTCAGCATTCGAAAATCGCATCGGACAATCTCGCCATCTTTCTCATAGAGGAGGATGTCGATGTCAGCATTGTGCAAGAGCCATGGGTCAGAGGTAAGGACATCATGGGGCTAATGCTGAAAAATTATAACAATTTATATATTAGGAACAATGGTAAGCCAAGATCATGTATCCTAGTAAAAAAATGTATTAATGCCTTTTTATGTCCACAGTATAGCGATAAAGATCTAACAGTCGTAAGGATCGAAATGCCAGGTGGACAAAATTTTATTGTGGCTTCTGCTTACATGGCACATGATAGAGATGCTCCTCCGGAAGAGGTAGTCGCGCTAGTAAACAGAAGTACATCAAAAGATATTCCCACGTTAATTGGATGTGACGCCAATGCGCGGCATACGCTTTGGGGCAGTTCGGAAACCAATGACAGGGGTGAGTACCTTTTTGATTTTATTAGCAATTCGAACCTTTTAATTTGCAACAGAGGTAAAACACCTACTTTCACTTTCCCCAGTTCACAAGGGTTTGAAGGATGGGAAGAGGTGCTAGATATAACACTCCTATCCGAAAATCCAGATATTGTAGTTAGTAATTGGAAGGTATCTGACAAGAAATCCTTTTCGGATCATAGTTGGATTCTCTTCAACTTAAACATTAAACCAAATCATACCATCCGCTTTAGAAACCCGAAGAAGATAAAATGGGATATTTTTACAAGGGTAACTAAGGTGGAACTTAATAAAGTAAGACAAATTAAGATAGACTCTACTAGTAAGTTAGACGAGAGGATATATAATCTTGAGGCAGCTTTTAATATAGCTTACAAGAAATCTTGTCCAACAAGTAGAAGCAAAAAATCTTTTCCACCTTGGTGGAATTCAGAATTAAGTGATCTCAGGCAGAGAACACGAAAACAGTTTAACGAAAGCTATAAGGACAATAGTTGGCATGAATATAGGGAATGTCTTAAAACTTACAAGAAAGCTATCAGGAAGGCCAAAAGTAATGGCTGGAAGGAATTTTGTAAGTCAATTGAATCAACCTCATCCTCTGCTAGGCTCAGCAAGGTTCTATCCAAGGAAAGTGCAAATCCTTCTTATCTCAAGAAAGAGGACGGCACATGGACTGAAACCTCTGCTGAGACACTAAGACTACTATTAGACACTCATTTCCCAAACTGTAACGATGATGCTAGAGAAAACGGTTCAATCACCTTGGCAAGCACATCATCACAGATGACTGAAGAAATAGTCACAGCGGAAAAAATTAGGTATTCAATTAACAGTTTCTGTCCCTATAAATCGCCAGGTCTGGACGATATTTTCCCTATTATGTTGCAAAAACTACAAGACTTAGTGGTTCCATGGTTAGGGGAAATTTACAAAGCATGTCTTAAATATAGTTATGTACCACTTAGTTGGAGACAGGTTAAAGTAGTCTTTATACCCAAGGCAGGCAAAATCGGACATGAGTCCGCCAAAGATTACAGGCCGATTAGCCTAACTTCATTCTTACTAAAAACAATGGAGAGGGTAATAGAGCTCCACCTAAGACAAAAGGTAGAACGCTTTCCAATCTCTAAATCCCAGCATGCTTACCTCAAGGGTAGATCTACGGAAACAGCTCTGCATGAGGTTATTCGTACTGTGGAAAAATCGATTCATTTTAAGCAATACTCGTTGGCAACCTTCTTAGATATTGAAGGAGCTTTTAACAATGTAGGCAATAAAGCTATTCATGACTCACTTTCCAGAATAGGTTTAGAGGAAGAGCTTAAAAATTGGATAATTACTATGCTTAAAACAAGGATTATTCAATCAAAGCTAGGCAGCATAACACAAACGAAGCACGTCAGCAGGGGTACGCCACAAGGAGGGGTTATTTCACCATTACTGTGGCTGCTGGTCGTGGATAATATTCTTAATATTCTAGATAAGATAGGTGTGAAAGCAGTAGCGTACGCGGATGACGTGGTTATTCTAGTGTCAGGTATGTTCCCTAACATAATTAGCGACATTATGGAAAGGGCCTTGGTTAAGATAAGTACCTGGGCCACAGGTTGTGGACTAGGTATTAACCCAGGAAAAACTGAAATGATGCTGTTTACTACTAAAACCAAAATACCAGCTTTCAGGTTGCCTTCACTAAACGGGCAACAGTTAAAACTATCGGAAAAAGCCAAATATCTAAGGAATTCTGTTGGATAGTAAGTTAAACTGGAAACACAATGTCGATCTTCGTATCAAGAAGGCATGTGTAGCTTTCTATTCTTGCAAGAGGATGTTTGGCAAAAAATGGGAGATTCGTCCCGAAATTACCCACTGGATGTACACGGCAATTGTACGACCAATTCTCACATATGGTGCTGTCGTATGGTGGCCGGCTCTAAACAAGAGCTATAATATCGACAAACTTAACAGAATTCAGAGGACGGCATGTGTAGGCATCACAGGAGCTTTTAGGACGACTCCTTCGGACGCCCTAAATGTGATGCTGCATTTGCTACCTATTGATCTTCACATTAAAAACATGGTTTGTAATAGCGCTGTAAGACTGAAAGTAACAGGCGTATGGTTAGAACGAACATATGGACATAGTCGGATTCTAGGTACAGTGCCAAATTGTCTGTATAGGATGACATCGGATTATCTGAATCCGTGTATAGACTTCGAAAGGAACTTCCAGACAATATTCCCTTCAAGAAATGAGTGGAAAAGGAAAAATTTCGAAGCAAATTACGATATCTCAATATATACAGATGGCTCGAAAATGAGCGGTGGGGCAGGAGCAGGAATCTTCGCACCATCTAAAAATATAAATATCTCTCTTAGGATACCTAATGAAGCTACGGTTTTTCAGGCTGAAATCCTAGCAATAAAAGAAGCCTGTCGGCAAATTGCAAGCCACATCGAGAACAGATGTAGTGTTGCTATTTTTATTGACAGCCAGGCAGCAATTAAAGCTCTTGAATCCTTTATAACAAAATCAAAAATAGTTAAAGAATGTAGAGAAGCAATCGACGAGCTAAACCGGTTGGCCGATATCACACTCATCTGGGTTCCTGGGCATAGGAACATCGTAGGGAATGAGAAAGCTGATAGTTTAGCCCGCTCTGGTGCCTCCCTAGATGCGTCACTGGCGGTATCAGTCTATATTACCCTGGAGACCATCAAAAGAAGTACCTTTCTTTACTTTCTGCAACTCGCCAATAACAGATGGAAAGCACTAAGGTCATGTGCAACTTCCAGGTTAACGTGGCCCACTTATAATAAAAATAAATCTCTGGAACTCATCAAAAAAGATCGCGTAAACACTGCAAGGCTTATCGCGGTTCTTACTGGTCATTGGTGGTTAGGAACTCACGCAGAGAAACTGCGTATTCCCCATAACTCTCACTGCAGAAGTTGTGGAAACCCGCGGGAGAAAGAAACAATAATACATTTTCTCTGTGAATGCCCAGCTCTAGCATCCAGAAGATATAGGTTCTTAGGAAAATACTTTTGTGATAGATTCGGTGGGATGGATTTAGTCTCTACTCTTCTATACTGAGGTTCTTGCGAGGAATGTGGTAACAAAACGGCGAAAAATCGCTAATTGAGGTACATTTGAAGTTATCTTATGACCTGCCACTGCAACCAACCCAACCAACCAAGCATCATATATAAACCAATTATAATTTGCATATAGGCAAATCTGTAACCAATACAAGCTCGTGGTCCTTTGCCGAAACCCATATATGCCATTGGATGACGTTTTGCAATTTCTTCTGTCGAAAATCGGTTGGGATCGAAACGTTGAGGATTTGGATATATGTCTGGATCATAATGTAAGGCATCAATTGGTAAAAGAACTCTAGTTCCTTCTTCAATGACATGATTTGTATTTGGTAAAATATAGTCTTTGACAGCTTTGCGTACGATAACCGGTACAACTGAATACTTACGCGTTGTTTCTGATAAAAAAATATAAAAATATATTAGTTTCAACATTCAGTTTAGTACATATAGTGTTTATGGTACATACCGTACATACAGTGAAGTAAATACTTCATTTCTTTAACTGCTTCATAAGTAAGTTTGCCATCATGCTGAGCCATAACTTCATTCATTTCCGTCCGAGCCTTCTCTTGAATGTCTGGATTTAAAGCCAGTTCGTATAAACAAAAACTCATTACACTTGAACTTGTTTCAGAACCTCCTACAAAGAATGAAAATGTCTGTGCAGTTATCTCTTCCATTGTTAAAGCATCTGATGTCTCTGATTTTCTTAACTCCATTAATATATTAAGATAATCTTTTCGTTGTATACCCGTTTTCTCTCGATATTCTACAGTGTCACGAACAATTTGAAAGAAGAAGTCTGAAATTTCTTTTGGAAACAGTTTCATTCTGAATTTTCGAGCTAAATTTGGAAAAGTACTCATAAGCGAAACCACAGGCATACTGTGTTTAAAATAACCAATTTTTTCACAAGTTTTACTAAATTTACTTGTTGGTTCCTTTAATCTATTGCACTCTAAACCGAAAGCAACGCTTCCTATAACGTCTGTTGCATAGCGTGACATAAGATCTGCAAAATCAATTCCTATATTCATATCTGCAGAGTTTCGCTCATCTTCCAAAACACTGATTAATTGTTCAGCTACATCGACGACAGTGGTAAACATACTTTTTATTTTTCCTGATGTGAAAGTTGGAGTTAATTTTGTTCGTAAATTTTTCCAGTGCTCTCCTTCTAAAAACAGCATGACAGCAGAAATTGGATCATCTTTTTTATTATAATACGTTCCTCGATCTGTAAAATGTGCAAAATCCTTAACACATATATGCTGAATTAAATCGGGATCGAGCAGTATAATCGTTTTGTTGAGAAAGAAATAAAATCCAACGAATCGTGCTTTTTCCTTGAATTTCATATAATATTCTTGGAAAATATCATACAATGTTTTGGTGCGATAAAATTCCTTAAGATTTCCGAAAAAAAACACTGGTTTATCGTGCAATACACCGCTGTCCTTAAAATATGAATATTGCTTCCGTAACGCCAAATAAATAAGCAGGAAGCTGCCGCATATAAAACACACAAGAATTTTTATTAAGTCTATCATGGTGTCTCTACTGTTCGTTAAAGGTTGTAAACTTGACTGTCACTATTTATATGTACAACACCAATTAAATAGTCTTATTTTTAATAACTTATTGTATTAAAATAAAATAAAAACGTAATTTACATAGCTTTTTAATTGTCTTAAAATGAAAATTACTTCAACGTCAATTAAATAATTGCTTTTATTGTAGTCTTTTTTAAATCATTGCTTATTTAATTATATATTATTGGGACTTTGTCCTCTACTATCCTAACTCCTATTATCTTAATTGATACTTAGTTGTTTTAACATCCGTTTCACATCAGCAGATATTGATATATTTGAGTCCAATTTGGTTCAGATAGATATTTAGCTCATTATATCTTTATAGAAACCTAACAGAAGTTTAACGTTATATCATTTATTGCTACTCTTCATATTATTCTTTTTTTCACAATATACGTCTTCGAAGTCAGTCCTTTTGTTATGATCATAATAACAACACGAACGTGAAGTTGAAAGGCGTGCAGAAAAATCCTTTCGTTCACTTTCGATTAGGTCATCAAGCCAGGATATACAATATTCTCTTTAATGATTTTTGCTGTAGCTGTGAGGGGAATGAAAGACGGAATATTACTCTCGAGGCCACATCCGATATGCTTTAAGCTTACTTTCTGGAAATCTTCATGAACCGTAATCGGAACAGTTTCATGTAATAACACGATTGGTATAACTGAAATCACTGGTATAATCTGAAATATGCTAAAAATTCAATGTAAATATAAAGTTAAATAATTTTGAAAAGAAAAGAAAGAATAATTGATACGCAATATAAACTTTCGTATGAAGAGTATTAATAATTCGGCAAAGCTGAAGTTACATCTATTTTCATGTAATTTCATTTAATTCAATTAAGTATATGCTATTTTTTCTTGAAATTGCTGTCAGAAAAGCTATACTCATTTAAACTATTATACAAAATGGGTTTATTTTTAAGTAGTAAGTTTTTATTGTTTTGTTTAAAAAAGTTTAGATAAATGTGTTAAGTTCTAAATAATAACAATTTAACTAGATGAATAAAATTATCGTCGTCTGTGCGAATCGTAGAGTAACATTGGCATGACTTTCACAGTATTACGTTCCTAGATTAGGTTTTATACATTGGAAAGAATATGCAACAAATAATGCCTCTGCAAACAGTATAGTATAGAAATTTAACAATTAAAAATAAATATATATAATTAATTAATTCAATTATCATTTCGTTCTAATATAAACACAGCAAGAGAATTTATTAATAACATATAACTTTCACAACAAATTAACAAAACTCCAGGAAAATGTGCGAACATAAAAGTAATACCTCTGTGCTTAACGCTAAAGCACAAATCATTCGCATTACTCCCGACGTTCTCCAACCTAGTACCCTGCTATATGACTTGAAATCCACAATTCAGTACAACTCTCCTCAATATCGTTCATTATACTTCAAATCCTTGCATTTAACTATTTCCATCATTCCTCTCCATAACCGTCATTTTCACGATTCCAGTTATAGAGCCTATAAGTAACCTGCCAAACGTGTAGGTTATATTGCCAGACAGATGAAGGCAGATGCTTTCTTCGATTGCTAATGTGTTAAAGAAAGTAGAACTAGAGGACATCAATATCGCAAATAGTGTTGCACAGATGAAGAGACAAGTAAAACATTAGAACAAAATTTTACAATACATTGAAAGTATGCCTTAAAACAAGAGACAAGACTTCATCATAAGTTGAAATAAGACGAAAAACCATTTGGAGATCCTATCTTCAAGTAATGTTGCGATAATTCTAGTGTAATATAGACTCAAGTAATGAGACGATTTTTTAGTCCATTTAAATCAGACATACCACTAATGTGTTAATGATTGACGATACATTAGGCTATTTTCAAAGACAAATCCACAATATAATGTGATTTTAAAAAGATTGTCCATAATACAATAAATTAACAAAATGAAGTTTATAATTTTATCATTGTTTAAAAACAAAATTTAGAAATATTTCACTATTTGAGGAAAGAACTGTTCTCCATGTCAATGGTTTCATTTTATAATTACAATCTTTAACATCACTTTTTCTTAAAGACTGTAATTACTTCAAAATACTTCGTAAATCTTCAGTGGAATGTATCAATACACTTTTGTTTTCGTATGAGTTATTGAAAGCCTCATCTACTTTTAGTGACGTTGGAGACACATATCTTAAATTATTGAATGTGTTAACTACCTGTAATAAGACGAGGTCACATGGAAAGTAATTTCATATATCTCTTATATATATATAACTTTTTGACATATAGATTATACAAGTGTCTTTATAGATTATATGAAGTCTTATAGAGATCCTGCATGAAAAATTAACTTCATTCATTCGTGTACTTACTTTTTTGAACAACTGCTTAGATTTATATTTAATTTATTTATTTTCATTTATAAAATTATATTTAACGCACTCATTTGATTACCTCAATTACTGTGCATCTAAGTTGACAACATTTGTAGATATATTGTTATATCGATCGATGTCATTTAGGTTATAGATATATATATATACATACATAATTTTTTCAAAAGAGTAGTAAAGGTATTGTATAATAATAGAATATTAAAACAGATTAAAACAAAAATTTAATCCATAAAACTGTAGAAAATACGTTTTATTGGCTACTACACAGATTATTTATAGATATAGATAATAATAGTAAGAACTTGCCCTTACCAGCAAATGTACCGTGTCCAAATAAACGGTACGGTAATGCTTTATAAGGTAACATATAAACGCCCATGAATTATAACAATAGCTACTTTTTCATCAAATCGAAATATTTTTTATTGCTATGTATGTACATAATAGTGTTTTTATTTAACTGTTTTTTTTATAATTATTCGTTTGAAATGTATTTCAATATTAAAGTAAAAAGTTATGAAAATAAATTTCAATATAAGCGATTTATTTTTACAGAGTTTATTCATCGGAAGGATTGACTCAGAAAAAGTTAATTTATTGCGTTCAAACATTTAAAGTGCAGTCTTAGTATTTTTGGAAAATGTTTATTAAGTTCTATAGCATCTGCCTAACTTATTTATCGATATTTACAACTAATGTTATACTTAAGGACAACCATCTAACATTGACAACAATACGTGCGGAGTTTCAAATTAACCATCGGACAGCTGTTTATGAAATTCTTTTAGATATATTATCTAAACATAATTTTGAAACAATATATCTTAAAACCTCTTCAACTTGTTCGCTATGTAAATTAATTGGAAATCTGACCATACCAGTTATAATAGACGATTTACGTACAAGCTCCCAAATAAAGCCTACAATCAACAGTAACCTCATAGCAATTGTCTTCTGGAACAAGAACCTCAGCATAAGTACGTTAAATCTGTTAGTACAAACATTACATAGTATGCGAGAAACGAAAACAATGATCTATGTGTCTACAGCTTCAGAAAAGTACTCATTTAAATTAGTTGAAAACATACTAAGTTTCTTTTATAATCATAAAATGTTTAACGTTTTTGCTTTCATTGGAGACTCCAGTTATAAATCTGAGTTCTACACATTGTGGGCATATCCGAATTTCCATATAGTAAAAGAAAGTGTAAGCGCTTTAGCAGATTATTTTCCAAATAAATTTAAAAACTTACATGGTACTAGTATAATAACACTACCAGACCAGTTAGAACCAAGAACAATAGTGCACAGGAATAAATTGGGTCAACAGGTGTTAACTGGTTATGTCGGGAAACTCATGCTCACACTCGCTTGGAAATTAAATGCTACACTGAAATATGCACGACCAGTAAAAGGTGGAGAAATCATTTTTTATGGTGATTTACTTGCGTCAACAAAAAATGGAACCTTGGATATGCCAGCCAGTATTCTACCCATTACAAATGTAAGTGACTTCCACTATTTTACTTATCCATTCGAGTTTGTCCATTCATGTTTAATGATTCCAATAGCAAAGGATGTACATTTGAAAGATATCTATTTATATATATTTAATCTTAAGTTCGTCGTCATCTGTGTGATAATTTATTTTACTTTTACACTTTTTCTCATGTTACACCAATTAAAGTTGACCACTCTTCGATATAAACGAAAACATTGTCAATGTCACATATTCGAATTTATACTTAATGATGTCACATTGCGTGATTTATTGGGTCAAACCTTTAACATGTTGCCCAATGCAAATATTACGCTTAAACTAGTATACATATTGCTATCCTTATCTGGTTTATATATAAGTAGCCATCTACAGGCTTACTTACAGACTATGTTAACGCAGCCTCCAAAAGAGCGTCAGCTAATGACATTTAAGGATGCTTCTGAAGCAAAACTTCCAATTCTTGTCAGCGAAGAGGAGCTTATATTCTATACAAGTACACAAAACTTATACAGTGAATACTCTTTACATTTTGTCTCAACTTCTTATGCTGACTTCCATCAGAAACGCAATGATTTGTTTGTTAAGTACGCTTATCCAATACCTAATATCCTATGGATGGTTTATGAGCAACAACAAAAATTTTTTTCACGGAAGCTGTTTGTTTTTTCGTGGGAAGCCTGTTTTATGAGTACTACTTACTATGGGTTTACATTGCAGAAGCATTCGTTATATAGACCAGCTGTTGAAAATCTTATATTGGATGTACGCGCTTACGGATTAATCGATAACTGGTTTCATGCAAATTTTTATGATATGGTAATGGCCGATAGAGTTTCATTTACAGATAAAAGCAATCCGAAGGTGTATGGAGGCTCATTAAAAATTGAAGACTTGCAATGGGTGTGGATTACATATATATTACTAATAATTTTAAGTATTTGGATTTTTACTGTAGAATTTTTTATCGCACATTTTATTATTAATAAATAAAGGAAACTTATAAAATTTCCAAATGAATTACCGCTTTATACAGCTTCTTATAACGTAGAAGACTACTGCTTAATGATACCATTGCCAAGC